TGCGCTGTCGTCTGATGCGTTTTACTGTGGTGTAGGCGTGAACCCCACAATTCATTATTACTTTTGTTTAAATGGCCGCTTACCCCTTAAAAACATACAAATAACAAGAAATCGTCCTCTGTGTTTACGATGGAATTCCCATTTTGGACGGGAAGGTTGCTGTCACGGTGTCTGTGGGCCTCTGGTCACAGTGGCTCCCTTTTCTCTGGCTGCTTTTAGGTGTTCTCTTTGTGCCCGATTTTAAGCAATTGGATGAGGATCCTGTCGCATAGCTTTCTTCATGCTTCTCGTGCTTTAGCTCATAGAGCTTCTTGGGTTTAGACTTTTCATCAAATTTTTTAAAAATAAATCTTTATTGTTGAAAGTATTACATATGTTCCCCCATTGCCCTCTCCACCCCTCCCCTTCATCAAATTTTATTCAATTAATTTTCTGTCTCCTTCCCTGCTCTTCCTCAAGGAGCCCACTGACCTGAATCCAGGAGGCCTGGAAATTCCCACGTCTTACTGATGTTTTATTTTCGTTGTTGATTGATTGATTTTCTGTCTTGTTTTGGATAGTTTCCATTGATGTTTTTAAGTTCATAAGTCTTTTCTTTAATGTCGATCTGTAATCCCATCCAGTGCACTTATCTCACACATTCAAGTCTCATCTCTGGAAATCTGATTTACTAATTCGCTATCTATATATATAAAAGGCTAATATGCAAAGTGTCCCCTCGGGAGTTTGACCGACTGGGAGTTTGATCACTTGCTATGACGCGCGCTGACCACCAGGGGGCAGTGCGGAATGAAGGGAGGCCCCAGCCGGCAGCCAACATCTGCTAGGGACCCTACCCTTGCATGAATTTCATGCACTGGGCCTCTAGTCTATCTACACTAATAAAAGAGAAACATGGTAATTAGCGTACGACCGCTACCCTTCCCATTGGCTAATCAGCATATCCTTATGCAAATTAACTGTCAGCCAAGATGGCGGCCGGCAGCCAGGCAGCTGGAAGCGAACATGAGGCTTCCTTGCTTCAGTGACTGCAGACTCCAACGTTCCCCGCCTCACTTGCCAGCCTCTTGCACTGAAGGCAGGGAGGCTTGCTTGCTCCAGTGACTGCAGACTCCAACTTTCCCCGCCTGACTTGCCGGCCTATCAGCTGCAACTATGATGCAAATATAGAAGCTAAACAAAACCCCAGAAACCGGTGTTAGTCAGCCAGCCTGACCGCAACATTGTATCGATGTTTTCAGCAGCGGGGCCTCAGAGCTAAAGCTGGCCCAAAATTAAAAAAAAAAAAAGAAAAAAAGGAGCGGTTGGGAGCTTCAGTTACCCCAGCCTGGAAACGGCCCTCAGCCCCTCAGCCAGCCTGGCCAGGCACCCCAGTGGGGACCCCCCCCCTGATCCAGGACACCCTTCAGGGCAAACCAGCCGGCCCCCACCCGTGCACCAGGCCTCTATTCTATATAGTAAAAGGGTAATATGCCTCCCGGCACCGGGATCAGCGTGACAGGGGGCAGCGCCCCAACCCCCTGATCGGCCCTGCTCTGTGGGTGATAGAGGGTGGCGCCCCAACCCCCCTCCTCGGGCCCTGCTCTGTGTGTGATGGGGTAGAGCCATAACCTCTCCATCGGCCCTGCCCTGAGTGTGACAGTGGCGGCGCCCCAACCCCCTGATCGGCCCTGCTCTGTGGGTGATAGAGGGTGGCGCCCCAACCCCCCTCCTCGGGCCCTGCTCTGTGTGTGATGGGGTAGAGCCATAACCTCTCCATCGGCCCTGCCCTGAGTGTGACAGTGGCGGCGCCCCAACCCCCTGATCGGCCCTGCTCTGTGGGTGATAGAGGGTGGCGCCCCAACCCCCCTCCTCGGGCCCTGCTCTGTGTGTGATGGGGTAGAGCCATAACCTCTCCATCGGCCCTGCCCTGAGTGTGACAGTGGCGGCGCCCCAACCCCCTGATCGGCCCTGCTCTGTGGGTGATAGAGGGTGGCGCCCCAACCCCCCTCCTCGGGCCCTGCTCTGTGTGTGATGGGGTAGAGCCATAACCTCTCCATCGGCCCTGCCCTGAGTGTGACAGTGGCGGCGCCCCAACCCCCTGATCGGCCCTGCTCTGTGGGTGATAGAGGGTGGCGCCCCAACCCCCCTCCTCGGGCCCTGCTCTGTGTGTGATGGGGTAGAGCCATAACCTCTCCATCGGCCCTGCCCTGAGTGTGACAGTGGCGGCGCCCCAACCCCCTGATCGGCCCTGCTCTGTGGGTGATAGAGGGTGGCGCCCCAACCCCCCTCCTCGGGCCCTGCTCTGTGTGTGATGGGGTAGAGCCATAACCTCTCCATCGGCCCTGCCCTGAGTGTGACAGTGGCGGCGCCCCAACCCCCTGATCGGCCCTGCTCTGTGGGTGATAGAGGGTGGCGCCCCAACCCCCCTCCTCGGGCCCTGCTCTGTGTGTGATGGGGTAGAGCCATAACCTCTCCATCGGCCCTGCCCTGAGTGTGACAGTGGCGGCGCCCCAACCCCCTGATCGGCCCTGCTCTGTGGGTGATAGAGGGTGGCGCCCCAACCCCCCTCCTCGGGCCCTGCTCTGTGTGTGATGGGGTAGAGCCATAACCTCTCCATCGGCCCTGCCCTGAGTGTGACAGTGGCGGCGCCCCAACCCCCTGATCGGCCCTGCTCTGTGGGTGATAGAGGGTGGCGCCCCAACCCCCCTCCTCGGGCCCTGCTCTGTGTGTGATGGGGTAGAGCCATAACCTCTCCATCGGCCCTGCCCTGAGTGTGACAGTGGCGGCGCCCCAACCCCCTGATCGGCCCTGCTCTGTGGGTGATAGAGGGTGGCGCCCCAACCCCCCTCCTCGGGCCCTGCTCTGTGTGTGATGGGGTAGAGCCATAACCTCTCCATCGGCCCTGCCCTGAGTGTGACAGTGGCGGCGCCCCAACCCCCTGATCGGCCCTGCTCTGTGGGTGATAGAGGGTGGCGCCCCAACCCCCCTCCTCGGGCCCTGCTCTGTGTGTGATGGGGTAGAGCCATAACCTCTCCATCGGCCCTGCCCTGAGTGTGACAGTGGCGGCGCCCCAACCCCCTGATCGGCCCTGCTCTGTGGGTGATAGAGGGTGGCGCCCCAACCCCCCTCCTCGGGCCCTGCTCTGTGTGTGATGGGGTAGAGCCATAACCTCTCCATCGGCCCTGCCCTGAGTGTGACAGTGGCGGCGCCCCAACCCCCTGATCGGCCCTGCTCTGTGGGTGATAGAGGGTGGCGCCCCAACCCCCCTCCTCGGGCCCTGCTCTGTGTGTGATGGGGTAGAGCCATAACCTCTCCATCGGCCCTGCCCTGAGTGTGACAGTGGCGGCGCCCCAACCCCCTGATCGGCCCTGCTCTGTGGGTGACAGGGTGCGGTGCCCCAAGCCCCCCCCCCCCCCCCGAGTGCACAAATTTTTGTGCACCGGGCCTCTAGTATATATATAAAAGGCTATTATGCTAAGTGTCCCTCCTACCGTCCGACCAGTCGCTATGAGGTTCACTGACCAGCAGCAGGCAGATGCTCAATGCAGGAGCTGCCTAGTTGCAGTGACTTGGCAATGGCAGTTCTCGGGTGACGTGCCCCGAAACCAGAGAGGAGGGAGCCCGATTCCTCGTGGGGCCGCATGATTCCACCTTTGGCCGTGGGTTATGTTGTTGCTGGGGCACTGTCAGCCTTGAATCTGGTTTACTGCACGCTTGCATTTGCGTTCCACACCCTGTACGACAGCAACTTTGCAGAGTGCCCTCTTGCACTCCGGGACCCCTGGGGGGCTGTTGGAGAGCCGGTTTTGGCCCAATCCCCGCAGGCCAAGCCGAGGGACCCCACCTGCTGGAGGGATCCCGCTCACTCGTCAGATGCCTTTCGAGCCACGGCACCACCCCAGGTGCAGCCGGCCGGGGAGGGGCCATGGGAGGTTGGCTCCAGGGCGTGTCCACCCCACTGGCCACCTTCTAAGTAATTTCCTTTCAATGTGCACGAATCCGTGCACCGGGTCACTAGTATCATATAAGCTCTCCTTATGGTTAAATACATGCAACACAGTTCTGTTTTACTGTTTGATTTCCCAACTCTCGTTTCAATATTAGCTCTGAATCAGTTGCAATTGGTTGATTTTTTTTCTCATTGAAGGTTCTATTTCCCTGCTTCTTTACATGATTATTTTTTTTTCTAATTGCATGGGACATGTTTATGCTCAAAGGTATTTGTTTTTTATCTGAAATGTGAATGTAGCTGGGAGGCCTGCATTTCCTCTGACCAGCCCTTCCTGCAAGCTCTGTCCCCTGTCCTCCCGGCCTCTGCTCTGTCCCCACTCAGGACACCCTCCAGCCCCGCCTGGGCTCTCGCTCCTGAGCGCGGCGGGAGCTGGTGCAGAGTGGGCTCTCGCCTTGTTTCCTGTCTTTCAGGGTCGCTGCCCTGGGTTGTCTGATGTTCATTATATTGGACCCCAGTTTTTCACATGCTTTATCCTTGTTTGTTTCACCCAGGAGAGCGAACCCGGCCCTGTCCCCTACCCGGGTGGAGGGGTCCATCTCTGAGGTTCCTGATTGAGCCAGGGGCCCAGCCTGGTGCCGAGGGGCCGCGGCTGTGCTCCGCACCTTCCCGGGGGTCTGGGCTTGCTCCCGAGTTCCATGAAACCACCCCCGGGAGGAAGGGGTGCTCTGGCCCCGCCCCGGGTTGCGAGGAGCATCGCCTGTAGGAAACCCCACCTGCTGACAGGGGGTGGGGATGGGAAGGTCGACACAACTCGCGTTACAGTCCTTTCAGCCTTTGGACCAAAAGGTAGTTTGGCCGCGGGTCAGCGCTCGGACGATGGCGTGGTGATCGGTTTGGGGGCAGAACCAGGAAGGAAAGGCGGAGCATCACGGTGAGCAGAGCGGGTCATCGCGATCTGGAGGATCCGAGTCGCTTTTTCCACGTCCAAGAACCAACTGTGCTCTTCCCAGGGAGGCCTCTGGACGTTACAATACGGATTTCCTGTCTTTGCTTTCTCTTGGTCCAGCCGTGTGCCGCTACCCCCTGGGCATGTCGGGAGGCCACATTCCGGATGAGGACATCACAGCCTCCAGCCAGTGGTCAGAGTCCACCGCGGCCAGATACGGACGGTGAGGGCGGGGCAGCAGCTCCGAGTGGGACAGGTTTCCTGGACCGGCTGGTGCTTGGTGGGAGCGTGTGGGAACCGGAGGATGTCCTGCCTGCCCTGGGCTGCGTGTTCTCAGGGGGAGTTGGGGCTCGGCCGCAGGTGCAGGTCTGGCGACATCCTGACCGCGGGGACCAGGCCACACTACAGCGGGGGCTCTGGATGCAGTGGGCTGGCCTCGCCCTCTCGCCGGGAGATGCTGGAGGGTGGCTGGGCGGCAGATGCGGGGGTGCAGGTTAGCGAGGACCTGCTCTGGGAGCACCCTGCTCTCAAGGACGCCTCCCGGGAGGCCCCGTCCCCAGGAGTGTGGCGCTCCCCGTGCGCTGGTACCGGGTCGTCTGCAGGAATAAACTCCTTGTCAAAAGCCCCTCTGCTTGTTAGGGCCGAACCGCCTTCTTCAAGCTGAGTCTTTTGGTGTGAAGTGTGGATTTCTGTTAAACTCGCATCACCCATAAGAAGAGCAACCTCCATAAATTCCACTCGTGCGTTAAGGACGAGAGGGGTGGTGGTGGGGCTGGACGGGGTCAGCAGGGGTGAGCAATACCTGTGAGCAAAGGCTTGTGCCAGGGAAGAGGGAGCGGGTCCCAGGGTCCCAGAACGAACCTGGTACCCAGTTCCCCATTCTGCTCCCGGCAGTGCAGCCTGGACGTAAGCACCAGATGATTCGCGGTTCCCTCTCCCCTCACTCCCACCATGTTTCCACCTGCTGGGCGGCCACGCCCCTCCTGCTGGCTACGCTGCCCACACTGGGAACCTTAGCCCTCCCCAGACATCCAGGCGACCATCAGGGGAGGCAGGTGCAGTGACTGTGGGGGAGGCTTCACGGCACCTCCACTGAGGTCTCCGCATCCGGAATCAGGCCTCCCTGTGACCTGAAGGCCCCAGCTCCCAGTGGTGACTGTCCTCTGGGTCCCTGGTGCCAGGGAGAAGGGCCTGCCCATGCGGGGGCACGGTGGTGCAGCCACCGCGAGGGAGAACTCCCTGGTCCTGTGCCAGGCCGGGCAGCTGCTGGCTGCGCCGGGAGCGGAGTCCGGGAGTCACGGATCCCGGTCTCGCCCTCGTGTCTCAGGCTGGACTCAGAGGAAGGGGATGGAGCCTGGTGTCCCGAGATCCCGGTGGAGCCCGACGACCTGAAGGAGTTCCTGCAGATCGACCTGCACTCCCTGCACTTCATCACGCTGGTGGGGACCCAGGGCCGCCACGCGGGCGGCCACGGCATCGAGTTCGCCCCCATGTACAGGATCCACTACAGCCGGGACGGCGCACGCTGGATCTCCTGGCGGAACCGGCACGGGAAGCAGGTAGGAGGCGAGACGTCCAGCCCTGGGGGGAGGCTGGGGGGAGGAAGGGTCAGCGGAGCGTCACAGCCCCCTCTCTGCTTTCTGCTCAGGTGCTGGACGGAAGCAGTAACCCCTACGACATCTTCCTGAAGGACCTGGAGCCGCCCATCGTGGCCAGATTTGTCCGCTTCATCCCGGTCACCGACCACTCCATGAACGTGTGCATGAGGGTGGAGCTCTACGGCTGCGTCTGGCTGGGTAGGTGTCCGAGCCGCGCTGCAGAGAGCGAGGCGGCAGGTGCCCGGTCCCAGATGCGGGCTTCCCTCTCGGTCAGAGGAGAGGAGGAGCATCGCTCACCCAGCCCGGCTGCTCCCCATCCCGGGAGGGGTGTTCCCAGCGCGGCATCACTCCAGTCACCCCTGGCTGCGCTGTGCCCGGGTCGGGGCAGCCGGGAGGCTCCCGGGCTGGTGGGCTCCAGTGCTGACCATTCGTTCCCCTCGCAGACGGCTTGGTGTCCTACAACGCTCCGGCCGGACAGCAGTTCGTGCTCCCTGGAGGCGCCGTCATCTACCTGAACGATTCTGTCTACGATGGAGCCGTCGGGTACAGGTAATTCCGGGAGACTTGGGTTCTCAGAATGGGAAAATGGCCACTAAAAGAGAACCATGGCTTGGGATCAATAGCCAACCAGTCAATCCACCCCCAGTTTCCTTCAGACCCTGTCCTGGGCGTCACGGGATAACGTAGATGGAGCCAACGGGGAGTTTACTCCCAGGAAGTGGGGCCTCCTGGGAGGACAGGGAATGGCAGGGAGCGGAGCTCACAGGGCGGCTCCGGGCGGAGGACGCAGCGTGCTTTCCCCCTTGAAGCGGGACATAGGGTCTGACTCACGAATGGCAGCCGTGCACGGCCGCAGGGACGGAAGGCGTCCGTTTAATAAATTGCACAGGTTAAGAGGTTCAGGCAGGATGACCCATAACTATGCGTGCTTTAGAAGGTGCGAAAGGCTTAGGGTAGACAAGGAGGGTTTTGAGGATGGGCTGGTCCTTGGAGCAGTGGGGAGGGGGTGAGGACAGGACTCCTGGCCCAGGAGCTGGAGCAGTGATGGCCTGAAGTGGACCTGTGAGACCGTGTGCAGTCCATTCAGGCCCTGCAGGAATTAGGGTTGGATAAGACCTGTCCCCACCTGTCCCAGGTGGCACCACACTTGGCCATTCGCCCACCCACTTGCACACCTTATCTCGCTCAGCTCAGTCTTGATCGGCAAAAGTGGAGCCTGGCGGAGTCAGCCCACGGCGAGGGCCAGACTGGAGCTCCGAGGTTGGTGACTCAGGAGCGTGGAGGTCCAGGGCCCATGGCCCCAAGGGGAGAGCAGGCGGCTGTCCCCGCCGCCCTGACCGCAGCCTCCTTCTCCGGTCACTTCCTTCCCATCCGCTTGGTCCCGCCCCTCCGCTGCCTTGTCGGTGTGCCATCATCCCTCAGCCACAGCCCAGCGGCCTATTCCCAGGGCCCACAGGAAACCCCAGGCTTGAGTCCAATTTGCTAATCATGGTGCCTGCCAGGAGTGGTCCATGCAGCCATTGGTCCCGAAGCTCTCAGTAGGAATGGGGCTAAAATAGGGATCAGCGGCCACACGTGGGGGTGAGTGAGCCGTGTCCCGAGCGGCCTGGCGCAGAGGAGGGGGACGCCCGGAGGAGCCCAGCACGGAGGGAAGACCCTTGCCCACGTAATGAAGGTTCCTTCGCTTTGCTCTGAGGCTTATGGGATTAAAATGGAGGGAGAAGTGCCCTGAAGGGAGAGAACTGCACGTGTAGGGAGGGCCAGCGAACACCTGGCGGATGGATAGACGGGCCCCAGAGGGTGTGGAGCCGCCAGGCAGGGGGCGTGGAAATGGCGTTGGGGGCAGAGGGGCAGCGTGTGGACAGGACCACAGCCTCCCTTTAGGGGAGCAGCAGCTCAGTTCCCCGAAGCCACAGTGCGAAGCAGAGCGAGGCAGATTCTGTCATCATTTGGAGGAACCTGAATGCCAGGGCCAGGAGGGGTGGGGGAGAAGGAAGTCCAGGCCATGTGGTGACTGAGGGGGTGAGCAGGGACGCTCACGCAGGGAAGGAGACTAGAGGCTGGCACGTGACGTGAGGAGACGGGCGGCGGAGATGCCGTGTGGCTGAGCGGGACACAAGCCCGCAATGCAGAGTCTTGGGAAACGGCCGAGCAGCAGGGCTTCCGGCAGCTCCGCCCTCAGAGCGGCCTTGTTCGGAGGTGGAAAGGCTGCCGGGCCCAGAACAAAACTGAGCCAGTCCCAGACCCTCGTGTCATCCATGCCTCTCACTCTGTGGGTCTCGTTGTCTATGAATTTGATTAAAATGAAATGTAAATGAGTACTTAAATGTGGCAGGTTTTATTCTTAAGTTACAGTTTACTCCCAATGTTATTTGGCATTGTGTCCAGGTGCCCAGCATAGGAATTAGACGTTGCTGTCATTTACCACGTGGCACCTCAAGAAGTCCAGGCCCCCGGCACCGTCCATAGCTATTGCACCTCACTGGCTCTGCCCCTGGCCCGTGGCTGCCTGGGACGGCCGACTCGCACTTCTCGATCCCTCCGCCTCTTTCACGGGTGGGGTGGAAGGGCCAGTGGCCTCCTGCCCTGTAGTTTGGTGTCGGATGGGGTGTGGGGTGTGGGCTGGCTTACTGAACCGACTCGCTGAGCAATGAGTTTCCAACCCGCTCAGGGACCAGGACAGGGGATGGTCCACTCCACGTGCGTTCCTGCAGTCACTCACTCCTAGATTCATTAATCAAATGTCTTTGATAGCATCGAGCCATTGAAAAAAGACTTGTTATGTCAGTATGTAAGAATAGGTAAGGGCACAAGAGAGTATAGAAAGTGATAGAATATTGTTTAACAGCTTTGCTATTGAAGGGGAATCAAAATCAAATGTTTTGTAAAATTCATCGATATGAAGCTTCATTCTGCACCGATGCAGGATGAACGAGTCGATACTGTCAGATATATCGGATTTTTCATAATCCGACACCCTCCATGACAACCAGCTTTTCCAGAACCCGGTGCAGCAGGTGAGAGCTCTTCCCTGAGCATGCGCTAACTCGGGCCTCTGTCCCCTCCTCTTGCCCTTGGCCGGCAGCATGACCGAAGGGCTGGGCCAGCTGACGGACGGGGTGTCCGGCCTGGACGACTTCACCCAGACCCACGAGTACCACGTGTGGCCCGGCTACGACTATGTGGGCTGGAGGAACGAGAGTGCCACCAACGGCTACATCGAGATCGTGTTTGAATTTGACCGCATCAGGAACTTCACCACCATGAAGGTCAGCGGGCACACGGCCCTGTGCGTGGCGGGGGCTGGCGGCCTTGGGCGGGGCTGCAGAACACGCTCCTGACTGGCCACGTGCGGCCTCCAGCCCCCGAGCCGGCCTGGCCATTTCCTCATTGTAAACAAGGTGGTCGGCGAGGCCGCTGCCCCTCGTGGCGTGTGGTGCCCACGCGGAGCCGGCGCGTCCGTCAGCACGGTGGGTGGTCTCCAGGGCCACCATGCTTGTGGGCCCATGAACATGGTTTACCTCCTTCAAATATCAGCGGAAAACAATGAACTTCAGGGCCAAGAATTATCCCCCCTCTGAACAACACAGTTGTACCATCTGATTTTAATGTCTTTTTAAGGAGGGAGGGGCCCACAGAGGCACACGTGCCAGGCTGCGGAGGCGACCCCGTGCCAGGGGGGTACCTGAGGGTCCCACCCAGGAGGGGGCTCCGCACTGTGCTCTCCCCACAGAGAGGGGGGCTCCGCATTTTGAACCACTTCCCACCCGGCTGCCTCCCCCAGCACCGAGGAGCCAGCCTCCGCCAGCTGTTCACAGGCAGGGGTGTCTGTTCTCTGACGGACCCCGGGCTCCTCCAGGGGCTTTCCTGTCGGCTCTGTCCCTGCACTCAGCATCCGACAGCTCGGTCACCGCTGTGAGCGGCCAGGTTAGCGCCCTGGTTGCCTGCGCCAGCCGTCTCTCGGTCTAAATGTTCTGCCACGATGGTGGAGGAGGCGAGCTCGGGGGCAGGAATAGGACCCTGGCAGAGAGCACCTCTCTCGGTCGCAGCCTCCGCAGGCAAGCGGCCACGGGCCTCCCTCTGGGCCGGACCACTCAGCCCGCAATGGCCGGCTTCAGTCTTCCTCTGTAGGGACTCGGGGACTCTGTCCAAGGACGGGGTCACCTCCGCCTGCCTGGAGGCCTGGAATACAGAGCACGTCCTTTCCGCGTGCGGCCAGCGCCAGCACGGGAGTCATGGCCCGGCCCCTCCCCCAGGTGCACTGCAACAACATGTTCGAGAAGGGCGTGAAGACCTTCAAGGAGGTGCAGTGCTACTTCCGCGCGGAGGCCGGTGAGTGGGAGCCCAACGCTGTGTCCTTCCCGCTGGTGCTGGACGACGTGAACCCCAGCGCCCGCTTCGTCACCGTGCCCCTGCAGCACCGCATGGCCAGCGCCCTCAAGTGCCAGTACCACTTTGCCGACACCTGGATGATGTTCAGCGAGATCACCTTCCAATCAGGTTGGGGCGGGGCCCCGGGAGCGGGCGGGGTGCACGGAGGGACCGCGCTCCTGGCTGCCCCAGTGGAGGGCCAGGGCCGAGGCTGTAGGGACAGGACATGTGCTGGCTCCCACCTGTTTGTCTAAGAGAACAGAAATGAGGATTGAAAAGGGAGAGCACGGTGTGGTAGACGCTTCTGTGAGGTAAGCCCGTCGGCGGGAGCCCCCGCGTCACCGTTCAAACATCGGAGGAAATTCTCTGAAAGCACAGGAGGCACAGGGAGCCATGGGTCCCTCCGCTTCCCCGACCGGCACGCAGCTGTGCTCCATTCTCCCCTTTGCTAAGTACAGCGGGGCCTTGACTTACGAGTTTAATTCGTTCCGAGACCGAGCTCGTTAAGGAGCTCGTTAAGGAGCTCGTTAACTCAAATTACTCTGTCAACTCAACGCAAAAAATCCGCCGAGAGACAGCTGGTATCTCAAAAAACTCGTCAGTCGGGACACTCCTAAGTCAAGGCCCCACTGTACTTTAGGGCAAATCGAAGGCCATTCAGTACTAAGAACGCTCGGTGCCGCTAAGAAACGGCATCATCTTTACATGCATGACGCCATCATAACACCTACCAACACTCACCAGCAGGCACGGCCACGCCTGCACGCCCCAGCGGCCGCCCACTCCGCTGCCCGTGGTGTCTTGCTGCGCTTGGCCGATTGGATGGGCCTTGGGGCTGTGTCCTTCATTGTATCCCACACGTCTCTTTCATCGGAAACAGTCCTTTTCAAACACTGCGACCTGGCTTGGCTGGCGGCTCAGCCCTCAGACGGGAGGGTGTATCTACGGCTGATTTCAATTCCGGTTCCAGATTTATTTTTGTCAATGGCTTTTCCTAGATGGTGCTTCGAGCTTTTTAAATTTATTTTTAATTTTAATTTTTTTTGGGGGGGGGAAACTGATTGTTTTATTTATTTTTATTTAAAAAAATATTTTTATTGGTTTCAGAGAGGAAGGGAGAGGGAGAGAGAGATAAAAACATCAATGATGGGAGAGAATCATTGATTGGCTGCCTCCTGCACGCCCCCCACTGGGGATCGAGCCCACAACCCGGGCATGTGCCCTTGACCAGAATCGAACCCGGGACCCTTCAGTCCGCAGGCCGACACTCCATCCACTGAGCCAAACCAGCCAGGGCTGATTATTTTTTAGGGAAACTTTTGCCTGATTAACCTGCCAGAGCTTTCACCCCTCCCCCTGAGAAATAATTTTTAAAGGGACAAGCAGTAGATTTACATAGATTTTTAGAGTCTTTTGCTAGTTTCTTTACTAAAGGCTATTTGTGAGTAACCCTGGGATTGTGTAAAAAACTTCTCAGGGGTCAGGAAGTCAATAGATTTAACCATGTTCATGGGCCCACAAGCATGGTGGCCCTCGGTGCTGGGGGAGGCACCCGCCTGGGCTGGGGGTTAGCGTTCTCGGGCAGGGAGAGGGACCTCTGTGCTTAGGTGCCCCCAGACCCCGCACGTCTGTAATGCCCGCTGCTTGGGTCAGTCAGCTCCTGGGGGGACGCTGAAGGGTGGCCCTCCAGGTCTTGGATCCTCTGCACTTGTCAGCGCCGCGTCTTCTGACGGGGACCCTCCTGCACCGTTCGTGCCCAGGAGGCAGGGCGCGCGCCTGGTTTTCCTCCTCGGCACTGTTTGCTCTCCGTCCTGGTTTTGTTTTGGTGTCATTGCGCACACATTTCACTGCTTTTTAGAAATTCAATGTGTTGAGTCAAATGCTTTCTGAAGCTCAGACTGCCCTGCGGGGAGCGCACACCCTTGAGCAGCTCCGTGTCCTTCGGACCTGACCCCACGGCCTCTGGTAACTCCCCAGTTTTAGGAGGAACAGGATGCCCCGAGCCCATTTTGAGCACTTACTGCCCGGAGTGGGACCAACCATCTCCTCGGCAATCGTGGTTGCTGTTGGTGGGAATGAAGTCTGGAGGTCACAGCGGGGTCACAGGACTGTGCCAGGTCTGGGGAAGCTAAAGGCGTTGAGGACGCTGTCAAATTGGGACCAACCCTCAGTGGTCAGAGGAGAGAAGGGCCGCGGGCAGTGGAGTTGCCTGGACGCTGCCCGAGGACTGAGCCTCGTGCGGGGCCTGGAGGACGCACTTACCTGTGTGACGGGGACCGCGGATTTCCGTCCACGCGCAGGGCGTGCACAGCGGCTGGTACCGGGCACAGCTAACGGCAGCCCGGACGGCGTTTGGCTCCTGGGGCCTCCTGAGCTTTGGGTTCCACGTCACGATAATACTCGTGTTCACTGGACCCCGAGGACCCGGCTCCGAGCCGTCCCGGGGGGCCAGCGCCGCCCGCACGCGGAAAGCACGCTGCGAAGGAGCGCCGAGGGTTTGGCGAGAACGTCCGTGGAAAGGGGTGCAGGTCTAGTTCTTGACCTCCTCGGCCAGACACCCAGAGGAGAACGTTCGTTCCCCACGCCAGTCTGGCGAACACTGGGGTCCAGGCCTGAAGCTGCCGCCTCCCAGAGAGAGCACTTGGTGCTGGTGCCGTCCTCTGTCCGCAGGACGAGGCTCGGTCACAATTCCAGGGCCAGGCCGTGCGGCAGGGTGAGAGCCCTTCTGTCACACAGTTGGAGTTCCTGCAGGGAAAGAGGCCCTTGGCAGGAGCCGGCACCAGGCCCACGTGCCCGCGTTCCTGTGCGTTGTCTGACTTGGGGTCTTACTGCCTATGTGTGCTTTATGATCATATGT